TTTTCTGGTCAGCGTATATTTCAGACTTTAAATATTTGTTGTAAAGCCCTGTGGAACCAAAGAAGGGAAGTGAGACAGCCTTTGTTCTTGGAGTTCACAAGATTATCTGACATGTAGAAGCTGAGACAAATTGCCCTATGTTGTCTGCCTACTACCAACAAAGCTGCGAAGTCTGCCTGTCACTCTACTTAATCTTCTACAGGAGGTCATGGGGACCTCCTTTCAGTTCTTCACACTAGTCCTGCTTCTTCCCATACGTTCTGTTGCCTCTGCCTGAAATACTTGAAATACTCATCTTTTTTTTTTTTAACCTAGTTCTCTTCTTATCTTTTAAGTTTCACTCCATCAGAGAATACCCCATATAATACACACCTCACTAACCCTCCCTCCACCTACCAATGTGAGGCCTATAGTTCTCTTAATTTTTTCCTTGTGTTTTTCCCCTTATAGCACTTAATGTTTATTATATAGCAGGTCCTCGAATAACGTTTTCATTTCACACACACACACACACACACACACACACAAAACGTTTCCATTATAACGTTCCATTATAACATTGATGAGAGGTTAATGAATGTAACTCTTGTTTATGTCATTTAGCCTATGGTAAAATTGGTTTCATTTTACATAGTTTAGCCACAATTCCAAAACCTATCGATGTCATTAAAGGAGGATTTACTGTACATTTATTTGTATGAGATTCGGTTATCTTTCTAACAGACTGCAAGCTCTCTGTGGGCAGAGACCATATTTTTGGTTCACTGTTATATTTTCAACACCTAAAGCCTATCCCACAGTAGGTGACTTGAGTCTTTCTAAAAGTTGCTCTATTGCTACAAGTCAGAGTTGAGCATAGTTTTTTGTTTTTTTGTTACTTTTTTGTTTTGGTAAAGGGCCAGATAGTAAACATTTTTGGCTTTGTTGGCTGCATTGATCTCCGTCCCCAGTTCTACTGTTGTCACGGGAAAGCAGCCTTTAGATAGACAATATGTAAAGGAATGGGCATGGCCCTGTTACAGCAAAACTTTATTTACCAAAACAATAAGCAGTCTATCTTTTGCTGATCCCTACTGTAAATAATCATCTAATGCTGTAAGTAATCATTTTGTTGAAATTGAAAACTCTCTCATTATGCAATTTTGTAAACTCTCCCTAAGGTTTTCTTTAAAGATGATTTCATTTTTGTATGCTAGATGTTAAAGAGACGATTTTTAAAAAGACTGATCTTAAAATAATTTTTTCATTTAAAATACAGTCTTTAAGATTAGTATAATTATTTCCTTATTTAACAATATATTTTTACTTAACCCAATTTAAGTAGTATGCTTGTATTTTTGTTAACTTTATATTTCTGTTTAAGTAAATGTGATTCTTCAAATTAATTTAAAAATAAAAACATTGTTTTGATTTTTGGGTAAAATGTAGATTTAAGTTTTATAATGTGTTATCTTTAAAAAAAAAAACAACCCACAATCTTTTTATAACCTGATGCTTGAAATGAAATATAGCATTGTTTGTTCTTAAGTGACAAATTAAGATTCCAACAGTGCAAGTAAAGACTATCCACAATGGAAGGCGAATTGATTATAAGCAAAAATGTTTGTTTATTCTTTTTTTTCTTTAAAGATTTTATTGGGGAATCGGGGAAGGGGAATAGACAAGTTGCTGTCGTTTTGTTCTTCAGTCTAGTTGTGGGGAACGTCGCTTCACTGGCCCATGTTGGCACCATCATTGCGCTCTTCTCAGCTGAGGCAGTCTCTTGCCGGCCATTGGACGCCAGCTCACGGCAGCTCACAGCAGCTCACGTCCAACCCCACTGCAGCCTACACTGTTGCTGGCGACTGGCGACTCACGGCAGCCCAGCTCCAGGTGGAGCTGTTATTCACCATCTTAGCTGTAGAGGGCACAGCGTCACTGGCCCTCATGTGGGATCCGAACCAGGGCCCCGCTGCTCAGATCTGACGTCCCAAGCCAACTCCTAACCAACGCGCCACTCGGCCGGCCTCTGTTTATTCTTTTTTGACATCATTGTTTGAAGGTCTAGAGTTATCTTTATGTGCTGGATGAGAGATTTGATCTGATGAATCCAACTCAAAGGTCTAGATCTCAATCATATTTGTAGACTCATTTTTATGCTTCTCATTAATTTATATTGATATATTATGTATTCACTTAAATTTTAAGTTTTCTTGTTTTGTTTTGTTTTTCTTTTAAGATTTTTATTGGGGAATTGGGGGGATGGGAACAGTGCTGGGGAATTGGGGGAAGGGGAACAGACAAGTTGCTGTCGTTTTGTTCTTCAGTNGGCAGCCCAGCTTCAGGTCGAGCTGTTGTTCACCATCTTAGCTGTAGAGGGCCCATGTGGGAACCGAACCAAGGCCCTTCTACTCAGAGCTGGCTCTTCCATGCCAACTCTTAACCAATGAGCCACTCGGCCGGCTCTATTTCTCTTTGAATGTGTAGGTTCTCCTCATACTCCGTTTCCCTACTCCTGCCCCTTTTTCCTACAAATATGGGTTGTTTGCACTATAAATGTTCTCATATGTTGGCCTTTACTAATTTTATTCCTGTGCTGTCAATAACGTGTTCCTGTGTCCCCTTAATGTTCTATAAACTGATTGTTAGATCTAGAGGTTTCATCAGATTCAGACTTACTTTTGTTGTTGTTAAGAATGCTTCATAGGTGGTGGGTGGTATACTTCCATTAGGAAGCACATGAGTGTCCATAAATCTGTCATGTCATTTTAGTGGCAATTGGTCATTACCAAGATTAATTTTTTTATTAGGGATTTGAAAAATGATGGCATTGCAAGTATATACTTTTTTCATTTTATTTGGATTATTTCAATAGGGATCAGTTTTTACCAACTTTTTACCTAGAGGTACAGTTCATATAGGAAGGCAGGTAAAATGCTTGATTCACTAGTTTCAGAATAATGGCTCGGTTCTCTAGTATCGTCCAAAAGGTGACCAGTTTATTTTTTATAAGCATCACTATGAATTGGCTAATTTAAACATTTTGCTGTGTTTAAATCCATTGCAGTCACTATTTTTTATTGATGCTCGAATTATCCTATTTTTGTTAGTGGGAGCCTCTTTGGTTGGCACCTAAACCCTCTGGACACAACTCCAGAAGTCTTTGATAGCTTTGTTGCTTTCTGAGATGACAAATTTTGTGCATTTCCTGCTCCATACCTGGAGTCAACTATAAAAGAGTCCTGCTTCCTTTTAGTGGGAAATGGTAGTTAGGATACAGTCTGAGAAGTGAAAGAACCACCTTTTTTTTCATTTTTAAACAACCACAAATATTCTCTGACGCAGTTCCTGTGGGTCAGAATTTTGAGGCCGTTTAGCTGGATGGTAGTGGATGGGTACATGAGCAAGACAATGCTGGCATTGGTAAGAGATTTCAGCTCCTTACCTTGTGGGCCTCTTCCTAGGGCTTCCTGAATGTCTTCATGACATGGTGGCTGGCTTCTCCCAGAGCCAGGGACCCAGCACAGCCAGTAACATCTTTTGATTCATTTTCTAGACAACAGAGTGTAATGCTCTGGCTGTGAGTCCAGACTACCTAGTGCTGACACTTACTAGCTATGTGGGTTAAGTAAGTAAGTTACTTAACTCTTTGTGTCTTAATAATGTAATACCTATAAGATAGGGTCTTTGTGAAGATTCAGATAATGAGAAGGATCGTTTCTGATACTTAGTGAGTACCCATGGTAAGCACTCAGCCTGCTGCTGTTGCTATTATTACCACCTCCCCTGGGATGAACTAAAGACCTGAACCCTAGTCAGTAAGTTGCCCTTGACAGAAATAGCCTTCTTTCCTATTTGCCAAAAATTGCCACTACAGAAAAATTGTTTACAGATTCCTGCTATCCCAGGTATGTTAGAAGATCAAGGGTTAGAGAATCATAGCCTCACCTGTTTGACTATGTGTGTGAAGGATCTTTCATTCCTAATCTGTGTTCATGGAGACTTTAGTGCAGGATATGTGTCCACGTAATGTGACTCAGGAAGTAACCAAGCCTCCCCTCCCTTTAAAACACTTTTTATTTTAAAGTACAAATTCATGGGAAGTTACAAAAAAAAAAAAAAGTACAGGGAGGTCCAGTGAACCCAATCACCTAGCTTACCCTAATGTAATATCTTGTAGAACTATGTAGTACAGTATCAGATTTTAATGATCAATTTTCATTTAGCAGAACTTAACCAAGCAGCTATTATATGCTAGGGATTTGGTGGTGTACGTGATTAAACTCTGACCTTGGCCAGTTCAGTCCTTCCCTCTGGGTTCTCATTGTTATATTTCTAAAAATGTTTTTTATTTTGGCTCTTCATTGTTGGAACTTGCATTAGCAGTTTCTTTAATGTTAAACATTATGTTATTACATTCATATTTGCCTTGTCTTAAAAGAATTTTTGCATTGTGTGCCATCTTTCATTTTATAATCTTTACAGCATCAGAACCATGTTGCCTGCATTGTCTTACTTGAATCACGTGCCAGTTTTGCAGTGCTACCAAGTCCGGATCTGAGAGGCAGCTTGTAGGAATCATTTACATACATTTCTGTTTATATTCCCCAGATTAATTTGCAACTTTACATTTTTTATCCAATTACATGTTCAAAGTAAATTTTAATAATTCATTTTACAAAGGAATTTGTCATATGTATGATTTTAAAACTGGCTCAAAGAGCAGAAGCTTTAAACAATAGCAGAAACCAGACAATATGTAGGACTTTAAATAGTCATTGTTAAACATTTGAATGTTCCCAAAAATATGAGCCTGTGTGCCTATGTGTGTCTCTATATGTTATTCCACTAGGGACTTGCACAGAGAGGTTTTGCACAATATCCTTGCTGTTATTGTCAGCCATAAACAAATTACACGTATTTAACAAGTTAATGTCAGATTGGCCAGGAGCCACTGGGAGGTGTGTACTTAGTGACATCAGCTGGCAAAGAGCCCTGGTAACGGGGAGGGTTGGAAGGGTAGGAGGGAGGGAGAAAGAGAGACAGAGAGACTGACTGTATCTGGGGATTCTGGCAAGGTGAAGAGCTGGTCTGTTTGGCAGGACCTTCCCATCTGGGATCCATCTGTGTTTCCCTGGAATGGGACAGGCAGCTCTAGTCAGTGAGAAATCGCAGATGTGAGAGAGCTGACACATGTCCAGCTAATGAAAGAAGGAGGAAGGCTGGTTTCGGATTGGGCTTTGAAGATTAGGAGGAGAAAAAGAGGAGCTTTTTTGTATCTATTTCAAATAAATTTGGTATATTAAGAATCTGGATTGTTATAATTGGGCATTTGGGGTAAGTACATTTTAATTTAGTTTTGGGGGCTAACGTGTGCAATTCCCTGCCTTTCAAAGCTTTTTACTTATTTCAGATTATGATGATATGAATGTATTCTGATATTTTATATGAGTTCAGCCTTTAGTTACTCAGTGTTGTTTTGCTGCTTCATTTTATTCATATTTGTGTTTCATTTTTCATTCACCACCTTTGTATTTGAATGCCATGGTTTTTTGAATGGAAACTTTAATCGTATGTTATATATGAAACCTTTGGCTAGGAAAGTAGTCCCACAAATATTTCTATAAGGTATTCCACATTGAATTTTCCTGAATGTTTTCATAGAAATTTGTTTTCTCCGTTAATAAGCATAATGCAAATAGGCAGTGTTAAAAAGATGGCTCAGGAAATATTCCTATTGTCAGATTTTATTTCCATGTATTCAGGCGAATTACAACTAAAAGATAATACAGTAAAACTAACAGTATCTTTTAATGTTAATGTGTTTAACCCCTTTTTTCTTCATTACATTTTATCCCTATGCTGTTTTCTTCTATTTACTCCCCACATACAAAATAAACAAGTAACATCAACAAATCTGACTTGAATTGTGAGTTTGGAGTAGTTTTGTCATGCAGTAAATTCACATGCACATAGCTACGGTGTTCAGTAGTCTTTGTTAGTTTGTGATGCATAATTTAGCTTTTTGCTATTTCTGTATATTGTATTCATATTTCCCAGGCCCCCAAATCCAGACAACTATGGGAAGAGCATGGGTTTCGGAGTTACACATACTGTACAGCCATTATTCATTCACTAGTTCTCTGATCTCAAGCAAGCTACTTATTCTCTTTTGAGTGTCTATTTTGTGCAATTCCTGCCTCATGTCATTACAGGGTAATTTGGCACATAGAAGGCATACACGTTAGTTTCAGAAGTTTCTAGATGTTCATTATTCTGCTGTGATTGGTTCCTACATAATTTGCATTTTTAACTTCAAACTCTCTGGCTAAGAATGGGTCTTGTCTATATAACTCATTTTTAGGGTACCTTCCTCTCACTGTACCTACCTCCCAGGTCATCTGTATCTCTTACTAATGTGATACGCAATCTTTGTTAAGCCTCGCTGTGATAATAAATGATTTGGAAAGCATTCTAAATACTGTAATGCAAATGTGCCTCTTATACCAGAACAGACCTTTCAAAAAAATCAACAAACATGAGTGACGTATTGAATTACACTGTTTTGTGACAACACTGTTTAAATTTTATTTTTTGCCTTGAAAATTCTACTAGTTCTCAAATAGGAACTTTAAAAAATACTATTATTCCTTCAAGTTCTTTAGCCTTCACTTATGTCAGCTGGGTAATCATTTTAAGAGGACAATACAGTACTGTTATTCAATTTCTTTAATTTTGTAGTCAGATTTCTTGAGACTAGGGAAACTTTGAAAATGAACCTTTTTCTAAGTGTTCTTTTATGCCAAATTGACTAAATGATTTAGTAAGAATTTTCAAGTTTCTGTTTTGATAGGTGCAGTGTTCAGCATCTTTGGGGACTTGTTCTAATACTTGAGAGGATATAGTGTTTATACTTAATTTACATGTTAATCCTTCAGTGAACAAGTACTTTTCATTGCTCCCTAGGAGATATGCTCCTAGATTGAGTGGAAAGAAAAAGACTTGATGCTGAAGCGTAGTGTAGGCTGGAGTCTGTTGAGAAGGGGCTAAAAAAGGATTTGCATATTGCTGTATGTCCATACAGGGAATACTTTTGATGCTAGAGTTTCAAGAAGCATAAACAATGATAATATGCATTGTAAGATGCGAAGATCTCAATGCAAATAAAGGTGGTTGATTAAAAGTCCTAGGACCACACAGTTCAGGAGAGTGGTTGCTTGTTACTGAGGTAATAACCAAGGTATCTTTGAGTTCGACTCTGGAGAAAGTCCTAGTACTTCCTGAAGGCTATGCAAGTATTTGGAGAAGCTTTACTACTATGAAAAGAGGAAACCTTCTAGACAGGCTTCTTGGAATGACCCAGCCAAGGATTTTTGTCATAGCAAGGAGCTATGCTGGACAGGAGGTATATAATGCAATAATGACAATAAACTGGATATAAGGATAATGACACTTAAATTGTATCTTTGGAACATCAAAAAAGAATGCTTTGGAATTTGAATAAACGTATCTTATACAAAATTGGAAGAATTAAAGTGGATCTGAAAGATTGGTTGGATCAGTTCATAGAAGGCATTTTAAGGCCACTCGATACTAAAAGTGCTCATAAGGTCCCAGTTGGTGACCTGTGGAAAATGTTAGGACTGAAAAGGATCTGAAAGATAATTTAATCAAATGCATTATTTTATAGATAAGAAAAATTGAGGGAATAGTAGTGAAGTAGTAAAAAGTTGGCCTGGCCCAGAGTTGAATACCTTAGTAGCTCTCTTAGTATCTTAGTAGGTGGCTGAGCTTGGATTTGAATTGCCTTCAGAGTTTCCAGGACATTTACTTTACAAACATTTTGTGATTGCCTGTTGTGTGTGATAATATGGTAAGGGATTTAAGAAAGTCTCACAGAGAAGATAAAATATACATGAATGCACAAAAGTGGATACATCCTGGAAATGACTGCCAACTCAGAGACTCAGAACTGTCTTGGAAAAGGTAGCATTTGATTAGAACATAGGACAGGAAGGATTTGGACTCCTCGTGATTGGAAGAGGCATAGTTGGTGGATGGAAAGGTTCACTTTCCGTTAGACCACAGTGCCTTAAATCAGACCTTGTCAAATGCATAGCTACATAGTGTTAATTTCTACTATATTTTCAGTTATGGTCTTGCTGCCTTTCTAAATCCAAGAGTAATTATTTGCTTCTCAGATACATATCTGTGTAAACATACATATCCTTCCTGCCCCTTTTTAAAGCTTGTGATTTATACCAGGTAGCTCTAATTCAAAAGGTTTCTACTATGATGGATTGTGTGGGTTGTTTAATTTTCTTTCCAAATTCAAGTCAGTAAATACAGGAATGAGTGGTGGCTGTATCTTGCAGAAAAACAACTCACTATAACTGGTTTTTATATTCTCACTGGTTGATGGGCTTTCCAAACAGCGGTTAGCTTTTAAGTCCCCTGTGGCATCACATTTATTCTGGGAAACTTAAAATGCATATGGATTTACTTTTCTGAAGCATCCCCAAACCTGCAAAAGCAACTTTTTGTGCTTTGTTTAAAGCAACAGCTAGTGGAAATCCTTTTATCATTCAATCCTGAGCAGCTTGTTAGAGATGCATGGCAGGGTGGGGTGCAATTCTGCATAGAATACACAATATATGTATACATATCTGCAGTTCCTTGTCATAGCTGGAGTTCTGAAGGAAATAGGATATGTGTTTTCATTTGGTACGGTCGTTAGGAAAGGTTGAAGAAAGGCGGCGAAAAGATTGTGTGTAGGCTTGGCGTTAGGCTGTGTAACCATGAGCTAATTTAACCTTCACCTCTAAGCCCCAGTTTTCTCACCCGTAAAATGGGAATAAAAATAGCTGTCATTGTGGGTTCTAAGGATTAAATTAGAAAGTAACAAACATGATACTTGCTGTATGAATACCCAATAACATTTACTTTTCCATGTGATTTTTCTTAGTACACCCTAAACCAAAAGACGTAGTTAAAACGTGTTGTTTGCATATTTTCTGTAAGTCTGTCTTCAGACTGACAGGGAACCAGCCGCGGTTCCTTAACTAATTCTTAGTCATGGGAGAAGGGTACATTTAGAGAATGCAGCATCCTTAAAAACTCAAACCTGTTGCTGTGTGGCAAGCTGTTAATGTTTAGGGACCTTGCATTACTTACCCTGCTGGAAGAGCTGGGGGATGGGCCGCTTTGTGGGTGACAGATGTGCCCTCTGCTGCCGGCGGGCGCGTGCCGGCTCTGTCCCTCTGCTCCCAGCACCAGGTGCAGCCATTGTTCTGGCTGGTCTCTCTTCATCCGGCCTCGTCTGTTACTCTGCTCTTTCTAGCTCATTGTTTCTGTAGGAAATTAGCATTAAAAACCCATCTGAAACCCCCATGTCCCTCAACTGCAGGTGACTGTTATTGGCCCCAGCTGCCACCCTTGCGCTTGATTACTTCCATATGGGTCTGTGCAAAGAAGTAGTAGCCATTTATTGATTTCCACCACAACCCCCACCTCTATTACTCAAACTATAATACCCTGAAATCTATTAGACCCCCAGTAGGCTGTATAGCTCAGTTGGCACTACAACTGTGATGAACGTTTTACAAGCAAAACTAATTACACCCTCATTCTGCCCCTTTACCACCTCCTACCTAAATATTAAATGTAAAAAAAACAAAAAACAACAGTGTCATAAGTGGAATAGTAAATCTTTTAGATGTCTGGAGATGAATCTGTTTCTGAGTAGTAAAGCTTTTAGACTTTGGATGGGCTTTTATGGAAAATTTTAGTCACTGCTTTAAATATTTCATACCACACCCATAACATTCAAGCAAACTGTGGCCTAGTGGGCCCCTTGGGTGGGGGTGGGGGACACAATTTTTGGTCATTTGCTTTTTGGCTTATTAAATTTAATCGGGATGGGCAGTATGTTAGGAAAATGGCCTTGTCTAAAATGATATGTTTTGTGGGAAAACTACATGTTCTTAGAATTAGTTAAATCCTTTAATTTTGCATTCTTTTTTGTTTAGACAAATTGTTCCAGTTTATTTATTAGGATAAAAACCACAACGAGGAGCTTGGTGTCCTAGACTTCTTTCTTCCTTCATCAGTAAAAAAATTAAGTGTGCCATTTTAATTATTGGTCTAAATCAAGATTGTATTCTCAACCAAGTTGCCAGCCTTAAAACCCTAAATCGAAATTGTTACTGGCTCCTGATGAAATGTATTGTGACCTTGACAAAGTCACTACCCCTGTCCGTGGAGCATTATCTGGTCCTTTACAAGTAAACAGCCCAGAAAATCAAGGAGGAGGTAATTAACTAAGATCCTTTGACTGC